CACCATAGTAGTACCTATGCCGCGGCCCAAAGTGAATGAAAATGCTTAGAGGAGAATAAAGCGGAAGGAGGTCGTTGGCTCTCTGGGTGTGGGAAATGCACACGGAGATACGAAGCGGACAAACCCGCGGCCCCTGCAGAAGGAAGGGCGTTTCAGATGATCTTCCCGTCATGTTAGCGTCTCATGCTGACAGCTCTGCGCGGTGGGAACCCAGAACGAAATGGGGGAGGCCTCCCTCATGGCCCAATTATTTCCCGAAAGCCATCATTTGTGTTAAAGCTGTTTGCATTTGTGGTCGCAGTGCTATAAACAGCTGCTGCGCGGGCCAGCCACGAGGGTCTGTGGCACTGGGTCGCGTGCTAAAGCGTACCGTGCCAGTCCAGATCGGTGGAGCCTGCTCTGCGTTCTCGTTGGAAGTCTGTGTTCGCTAAAGACGGATGTGAGCGTGTGCTCGCTGCGGGTAGGAAAGGAGGGTCCCCGGTCCAGCTGATGTGCGCGTAGACTTAAATGCCAAACTTACTGGGGTTAAAACAAGGGAAGCGTTAGGGATTCTTACCTCCTAAGAATAATCCTTCACACTTCATCCTTGGGCAAGGATCTCCGCTAGCTTAATCCTCCCAACCCCTTTGTGAGGGCGTGGGGAGTTGCTTCCCAGTCTGCAGTGCAATGGGCCGAAGCACGGAGCTGTTGGGTGACTTGTCCGAACCCCGGGAGAATGGAAACCGGCGCTCCTCCTCTCCCACTCCTGGTCATTAGCTGATGCTTCATCCCTGATGGGGCTGATGCCTCGGACACGGGGCTCTGCATTCCCCTCCGAGAGCCTTAGGGCTTGCCTACGGGACCGTTTTGAACCAGCCCAAGCTACAACGTGAATTGAAGCTGCTGTAGTTACACAGGTACACCCTCCTGTTGGCCATTCTTATTCCAGTTTGAGTGGGGGGTTTTGGCTTAATGTGTGGAAGGAGTTTGAGTTAAGCCCAAAAAACATCCTCCATAGATTGGAACCGGATCATCCTTGTGGGAGGTTACGCTGCCGGAAGTATATTGGTGTAATTATATCTGTGCACCTGCTCAGACCGCCTTGCACGACCAGGGAGCAGGGGTTGGACACGGTCAGGTCGGTCTAGTCCACGTGTAGCTGGAGCTGCCGGCTTTTCCTTTGGGTCTTTGCAGAGACACCCCAGGTCCCTGAACTTGGCTCAGAGCATTGAGAGCGTCTCCTGTCTCTCTTTAAAGCCAAGGTGTCATTGGGAGTATTGTGTATTTTAAGCATTTGTTGCAGTACTGATCTCCCTTTTCTTCTCTCGGGGTATTAAAGAGCCTGCCCATATCCAGTTCCTTGAAGGCTCTCTGTAGGCTCACGCATATACCTTGGCCTTTCAGCCCTGCGCCTTCTTGATTGCTAACTATCTTTATTAAATTGAAGGCAGAAAATGATCTGCTGCCAAACCGTGGTAGTGCTGTCGTGCTTTGGCACCGTACAGTCTCCAACAATAGGATTAGATTGGATTTACCCCGGAGCTCTGTTCTGGGTCCGTTGCAACCCTTGGGTATAACTGAATAATTTAGCATTTAACACATTAATTTTTTACGGTTCTGGATGAACCTTTGTTCTTGGAAGAATTAAGAGGGGCTGTTGCATTTATTACTGCCTTTATAGGTGGGGAAACTGAGGCAGAGAGGTATGTGTCTTAAGGCTACAAAGAGAACCCGTAAATACGAGAGCTGAAACGTCTTATTTTTCCAGGAGGGTGTTTCGGATGCACCTCGCTCGAGGCCTGATGCGAATCAGTCTCACTAGACTGACACTTAAAATGGGCAGTTACAAAAAATTAATGAGGCAGACGCATGGCGGCTCACTGTCGTGGGAAAGGGATCTTGGGAGCCTTTAAGGAAGGTGAAAGGAAGCCATCTGAGTGTTTTTCAAGACATTTGCTGCATGAATTGCAAAACTTTGTTCTTGTTCTTAAAATGCGACCCCAGTCACCGGGGGTTGTCAGGTGTTGCACAAGAATCCCTGGCATTCGCTACCTGCTTCTGGGATTTGCAGATTTGACTTTTTAGCATCATGAGCTGCCCTGGTAGTTGTCTCGTGGAACGACGGCTAAGGGGACTGACACAAGTCATTTGCCTGATGCAGACACTAATAAACCTGGAGATCATTTTTACTTTTGGAGAATCTATAAAAAAAAAAAAAATGGCCTGTGAACTGGGGGGAAAATATCTGGCCACGTGCCTTACCTTGCTTTTGATGCACAAAGGAGGCGTGGGGATTCTCCTGTAGCCTTTTTGCCCGACTTCTTAAGTTTTTAACGTGAACTGTAGCCCAAAAGAGACTATCTGGACAATGAATTGAAACGATAACACCACAGAAGTCAAGAAAATGCAAGCTGAGAAGGAAAGGGATATTTAGCCCAACTGGTTTAGGTTTTACATGTTGACTTTTTTATAATGGTTTGGGTATAGCTTGATTAGCGCCTGTCGTATTTCAGCGATTCTCATATCTGGGGTAAAGACTGTCTGCCCCAGATGGAAGGAATCGGTGTAAAGAATAACTGGAAGGGTTACAACTTGCGATACACGTGACCGGCAAAAAGTCCACCAGCCTTTAAAATCACAGCGGGCCAGTCCTGACATTTTTCTCAGCCCAAACGATAAAACATGAGAGAACGCACAAATACTTCCAGCCTTGTTTTTGTGTTGTAGAAATGTAAAGCAGGGCGGAAACCCATTTAAAAACATCCTTTTGCGTTCACTGTTTAAGATGGGTTGCCTAATAAATGATTGTCAGTACAGAGTCACTGGTAGGTTTTGCTGGTATTGCTAATAATGATAATTCAAATGTTATTTTTACTTTGAAAGGTAAAATCATCTCACCCGGTTCAACTGTCTTCTGAAACATAGAGTCAACATGGAGGGGGCTATATAATTAATTTAGAGTCAAACTGAATCATTAGGTACAGGAGTCTGGGGAAGAAACCTTGCTTATTAATAAAGACTAGAACTGATTTTTCGGCACAAACGTCGCATGCTTGATAGAGCCGTCCTGGGAGGTGATAGGAGTAACTTCTTAGAGAAGACTGGTGTCTTCTGGTTTGCAAATTAAGCATGTTCGTGTCAGGGCAAACTCAAAGTCACCTTGATTTGGCATGGTTTGGCTACGCCGTCTGCCATTTTCTCCGAAAATATACACCCTAGCACTTGCACCGTTTCTCCTCGCAAGTCACGTCTTCATTAGTGATCAGCGAGTAGAGCAAAGAGAGGCTAGAGAGAGCGTGAAGTCGCACCAGGGACATGCACAAGAAAGAGAGAAATGCTGGAAAAAGTAAGAAGTTGGTGAGAGACCTTCAGGTGACTGAGAATGTGGATCCTTTAAAAGCACAAATCATCCTTCGAGCGACTCGCTGTAGAATAAGGTCCCTTCAAGATAAGACTCATTGGTGCTGTGGAGCTGGTATTTAAAGTATGTCCATCTGCATCTAAACGAGTAGCTCCAAGACAATCAGATTATTCAGTAGTTACTTTGGTGAGAATATCGCCTAAGTGGAATGGAAACTTCATTTTGAGTCTAATATTAGACCCTGCTTTGGAAAATTCCTTTTAAATGATCACAAGCTGGGAATAGCAAAAGAATTTAACTTTCGACAGACAGCATTCACCAAGAATTTGTTTTTAACTGCTTATGTTGGGTCCCTGGGAAAGCAGATGTGGAAATCGTACCGAAGTGAATTGACTTGACCTGATGCAATGTTTATATCAGTCGTTGATACGTTTTCCTCCCTGGTCTAATTTGTTCAAGATCTTTTAATTCTTTGAGCATGAGCAAGCCCGGGTTGGAATAGTTTGAATGTCTCTTAGTCTAATAATCCGAGTCTTCGTGCATCCAGACGTTATTGCCTGTAAAGGGGTCTGAGCGGTGGAAACAAAGCTGAATGATTTTGGTTCTGTTTTGTGGGTTTTCAGTCCACAGGGTCGGTGCTGGGTTTTGGCACCAGGAGAGGACGGCTCAGTAAGTGGTGTTGACTGAGGGCTGGATCCTGGTCCACCTCTTCGCCTCCTAAGGGTTTTGGAGGTGTTTATATGCGAGTTATTCCCCCCTGCTCAAGTTCTGCTATGACTTTTTTTCCACAGTCTCCCTGGGACTGGGGCAGGTGGAGTAGGATCCTCATAGGCGCAATCGCACCTGGCCGTGCCTGGAAGTTGAGGCCGGCTGTACCTGCTCTTCAGTGTACTTTTCATCCGCTTGCTCAGATGGGGAGTGCGGTGCCTGTTGAGCCTGCCGTCCAAAACGCTTTTCTTCGGCGTTGCGCAGGTAGCAGGGTTTTAACGAAGACTGTGGGAGCTGGCTACCAAGGGTACTTTATAACTGGCAACTAATTGGCCTTCTAATTACTCTGTGAACTGGAACGATACGGTAGCAGCAGAGAAGATCCTTATAGGGGGCTCAGCCATTGATCACATCTGACGCATCGTCAGAGCTGTGAGCATCCCTCGTCCCCGTAATGACAGCAGTCACAAAGGGGCATTTTCACCTTGAAAGCGTTTAGTTCACTGAATCCAAAATCCTCGGTCTTCTGGTAGGGGTCCTTTTGGGCGTCCGAGCCAGAGGGGGTATGGAGGTGGTTGAAGCAGGGGAGCGCAACACCTGCCTGCTGCCTCCTCCGCTGTGGCGTTGCCGTGATGGAGCCTGAGGAAGAGCTCACGTGGTGGTCCTTCCAGAGCAGGGCAGGAGCATGCTCCTTCCGGCTAGCGCGCGAGACGGGAAGTGAAAACAGTGCGGCGGACTTGCTAACACATTGACTAGTCGACAGACCAAGGGCAGGACACGCGACGTGCCCCCGTCCGTGTTCCTCTCCGGTAATCTAAGCAAGCGGTTGTATGCCGTTTTCTGACCCTTGGTCCCGTCTTCTCATGACAGTCTCTGGTGAGTGCTTGCATGTATTTCTGCCCTAACTCCTTACCTCCCTGTCTAAAGCGACCGTGTCCGTCTCTCCCGGCAGGCAAATCCCACCTGGCCATAGTCCAGCGAGTAAACAACGAAGGGGAAGGAGACCCGTTTTATGAAGTTCTGGGAATCGTCACGTTAGAAGACGTGATCGAAGAAATCATCAAGTCGGAGATTCTCGATGAGACTGACCTGTACAGTGAGTAGACGTATTCGTGCTTTGGCTTCGGATATCGGAGCAGATTTTTCCGACTGCTCTTCTCTGAGCTGCTGTGGTTTGGTAGATGTAATATGCTGCTATCGAAGGTCAAATTACCCAGTAGTCCATATCCATTTTATCCATTTTGATTTCTGTAACATGGCCACCTCTGTACGTGACCTTACGACTTAGGATGTTATTTTTATGGATTTGTTCAGTCTTAAAGGGTTTTACATGAGCACATTTCCAGCTTGGGTTCTCTTCTGATTTTCCCTGCTGCAATCAGCCTTGCTGTAGCTCTCTAGATGGCCTTCTTTTCCCCCTAAATTATGAACCTGTCACCGCTGAGGGCCCACAGTGCCATTGCCATGCTTTGGCTGAGGATGCGTTCTCATTAGAGCCAGTCTCTGACCCTCAGCTGGAGGAAATGCAGGAGTTGCACAGTAGTTCCTTCCCTTAGAGACTGAATAAATGCAGTGTTTTAAATTGTTCCTCCCTGCTCTACTGCATACAGTTCCTTTGACACCTTAATGGTCACGTGCTTAAGAAGGACCATGGCATGCTTCGAACTCTCCCTGAGCCCCAGTAGGTCTGGGTTCCCTTCCCAGCTTCATCTAACTGTGTGTGCCTTGGACCAGTTAAGTGACCTCTCTGCTGCCATTCGTATCTCTGAATCTGGGGTACGGCCCCCTGGTTCCTTTTTCTCACCCCTTGATCCGTCTTACCTTTGTTAAAACTCCTGGCAGGCAGCGTTATTCGCTGTGCATGTACAGTGCTTGGCGCGTTGAGCCCTCTAAGGCTACGTACAGACAGTGAAAAAGCCTGAGGCTGAATCTGTTCAAACTAAGCAGCTTCCTCTAAGCCGCTTAGGTTGAACCGATAATCAACCGAACTGACCTTCAGCTTTCAATTGGGAAAGGCAGGGGGAGGCCTGTGCTGCCCCAGGCCGGTAGGCATGGGGTGCCAGAGCACGTCTCCTAGCCTGCTGGCCATTGCCAGCCCAGCCAGGTGTCCCCAAATCCCTGCTCTGTCCTCCCACAGGGGGTTCAGGAGCGCCCTGTCTGGGTGCTGGCCACCTTGGGGGAGTTCCCCCAGTCCAGGCAGCCCTGGGGAGCTGAGGGGATTTCTGCCCCCACTCTCGCACACCCTCCCTTTCCAGCTGCTGATTGCTTTAGTCGCTGCCACAGGAGGGGATGGAGAAGCAGTCTTCCCGGCCAGGTGCCTGCCCCTGCAGCCCAGCATGGGGGCACTGGGGAGCCCCCACCCCAGCCCCGGGTAGCACCAGCAGCCAAGGGGAATTCTTCCCATCCCCACCCATTTGTCTTAATTGCCTGCTGGTATCTCAGGGATAGCCCAGAGGGTCTGGGGGGAAATTCCCCCACTTTTCTGCATTAGTTTTGCCTCCGACTCGCAGCAAGTAAGGCAAAACCGGCTGGGGAGGAGCAGAATTTCCCTCTGCTCCCTCAAGTGCCTGGGACTCGCAGGGGCCGAGGCAAGATTTGGGCTGCTAATGGGCTGATGGACACAGGCAGGAAACAAGCTACGGAAGAGGGACGAGGCAGTCCTGCTCCATTGGAACAGGCAGCATAGCCCATGGCTGCAAAGCATCCTGGGATGCTGGGGGACTGTGAGTTAACTTGAACCAGGAAGGGATCTGGGACAGAAGTTCCATAAACCAGTTTGACCTAAATCAGTCAAGTCTGATACTACGTTCAACCAGTTTTATTGTAAACCAGTTTCGGCCATTTTGAAAGCGGTTTATGTGCCCTGAATTTCTGTTCTGCTACAGGTTTAAACCGGCTTACGTGTCACTTCTGTCCCTAGCCCAGATGCTACAGGATCATAGATGATCATTTTAAATAGCTCTTTGCTATTGAGAGATTCTTTTCCCCCTGTGGCAGATACCAAATGAATCTTTTAAGATTCTTTTCATTTTCTTAGATTTTTGTTAATTCTTGATGACCCTGTCAGTATCTGATCAGCAGTTGTGCCCAAAGGTTCATATAAGACGGCCTTCAGCGATGCACTCTTCTTACCGTGTTACATGCTACTCTGAGAGCTCGTCTAATCGAATGCCAGTTGTCATCAGCTCTTCTGATTGCCCGCTCCTTCTCTAGAGTGCCAACAGACATCACGCCTCTACAAGGGAATTGTATGCTTTCGTTTATGCTGCAGAAATATTCTCTCATGAGTGCTTTGCATCTGCCGCTCAGAGCAGATTGTGCTTCTCCCACAAGTGGGGGATGTATTTATATAGACCTCTCGTTATAGCTTTTTTTATTGGGAGAGGTCATTTGGATCGCACTGTATTTCATACAGCCCAACCCTTCAATTTTCAGTACTAATGCAGTGCCACAGTGCAAGGTAATGAAGACCCATGGTTCGTGGTATGATGTGTTTCTGGGTGACACAATAGATCTGGCAAACTAGTTCATTTGGCACTTTCCTCCCTGGGAAAGTGTCACTGTTGAGAGGCCAAGCAGTATAATACAAAAGTAACACAACTCCCCCAGCCTCCTGGAAGACGGAGCCAGCCCAAGGGGGTCCTCCAGACGTCTGCTATAGACAAGGACGTGGGATCATAGGAAGGTAGGGCTGGGAGGGACCTCACAGGGCCGTCTAGTCCAGCCCTCTGCTCAAGGCAGGCTCATCTCTGACGAAACCATCCCAGCCAAGAGTCTCTCCAACCTACTCTTTAAAATTTTCAGGGAAGGGGATTCTGCAGCTTCTGGAGGTAGCCCGTTCAGCGCTCGGCCACCCCTAGTCAGAAAGGTCCTCTTCATTCCCAAACTAAATTTCCCCTGCTGCAGCTTGAGTCCATTGTTCCTAGTCCTTTTTCCCATAACTGCAGATAAAAACCCCATCTCCATCCTATCGATAGACACCTTTCAGGTATTTGAAGACTGTTATCAAATCCCACCCTCCTTCAGCCTTCTCTTCTCTTCTCCGGTTTGAATCGCCCTAGTTCGTCGATGCCTCATAAGGGCATCGCGGACCCTGTTGTCCCATCGTGACATGCTAGACTCGTTCCACCAGTTACAGCCAAGGGTGCAAAAGTAGAGGGGTGCACACAGAAACCGCATGGGATTTGTGAAGTGTAGCAGGGTTTATTTTTTTTCAAGATTTAGACATCAAACAAGCACTGCAGGTTGGTGTAGCAGTGGGCAGCGGCATGTGGGTTGTGCATGGCTTGTGTACTGAGGAGAGGAGTCGAGGTGCATACATGTTGCTGGGTGGGATGTTATGGTTCCTTGAATCTGGGCGGTTTTCTTGAGGTTTAGTGAATTCACCCGGTGCAACTTGAGCTCTAGTTATATTTGCATATGACCAACATCTAGCTCTGTTGTACTATTGAGGCCGCTCATTATGTCCCAATATGAGAACCTATTTTTAGTCACTTAAAACTTCCATTTTGTCTGAAATTTCCCAGGACTGCCATAGACTGAATTTCTTTTTTGGGGAAAATGTTCAGACAAAATTCCAGCTGTTTGAGCGTGAGGCTGGAGGAAAAATCGCATCGTTTTACTCAACTTCTCAGAGCTCCTCCTTTGCAGCGCTCAGACACTGTTCAGCTTGGGCGAGGGACTTGAAATTTGGCTTTTGTGGCATTCCTT